AAATGGTCGCACTCCGGGGTGACGGGGCTATTAATAGATACAATATTAAACAAAGCAGATCGGCGCTTCGGATCGTTAGTACATGTTTGTTTTTAATGTGAAGACATTAATTTTGTTGTTTAGTTTTATAACGCTTTGGGCAACAACTTATTGGATACCATACGCTTATTTCCATATAAAATATCAAACATCATTTAAAAGGTTGTTTTGTTGTTCATGGACAATGTTGTGTAGGTGTTTTCCACTGAATATTTACTTGCTTTCTTATCGTTGTCGGCGATATACCTCTAGTATGTGGCTTTAGTATTGTCGCCATTAATAATGTTTTTAGATTATTGGTCATTGAAAGTTTCATGCTTTTGTTGACAGAATAAACTGTGTTTTACATTTCAAGTTTTTAGATTTCATGACTGTTGTCCATAAAGCTACTATTAGGTTATGAAAAGTATTTTTTTTAAATCGTATAACGAGAATGTTCAGGTGATCAGTTTAACCAAGATTTACCATTCAAATGACAGATTAAATGAAGAACATTCATTCCAACATCTGGTAAAAACAAACATTTACAGTTGATGGGAAATGACGTAGTCCATTATCTCACATTTTCATGATATTATATAATTTAACGGAGAGATACATTTAGTTTGGTTGAAAAAGCAATTTGAACACTAAACAATGTAAATATTAAAGAAAAAGTTTGACAAAATAATCTTTAGGGAAAAATATATGAAAATTGTTGCTTTCACCAAAAGAGATACAATTAATTTCTAATCCTCCAAAAACAATTAATCTAGGACTTGGAAAAGGAGCAATAATTGTAAACTGTATTTAAATTTTTACCCATCTTAAATACTTTACGTTTTTCTTAATATGCTGACATTAAAGTCAAACTTCATTCGGGTGACCCACTTGACGCATTTTAAACTATAGATGTTTGATCGGCAATCTTATATAAAACTAGTTCAATCCACTATGTGAATCTTCCAGGATGTTATGGCAATCCATTGAGAAAATAACGTGAAAATGACTCAACAAGGTTGTTGTTTAGGAAGTAATAAGTAATCGTTATTTGTAATCGCAGCGATTATAATGGTCTGCATTGTGTGGAGAAGTCTGAGACTTTAAGCTTTTATCTTGAAAGACTTTTGAGTGAAAGTGAATGCTCCCGTCTATCGAGTTTTGGAAGATTGAACGAAATGTGCATGTTCTTGTCTACAGGGTTTTGGAAGTTCAGACGAAATGTGCATGTTCCTATAAACTGGGATTTGGAAGATTGAACGAAATGTGCATGCTCCTGCCTACTGGGTTTAGGAAGTTTACACGAAATGTGCATGCTCTGTCTACAGGGTTTGTAGAGATAAAACGAAATGACCATGCTTCTTCTTCAAGGTCTGTCTACTAAATTTGAACGAAATGAGTATGTTCCTATCCTATCTACTAAGTTTGTGAAGTTTCAACATAATTCCAACATAATAGTCCACTGATAAAGATTTTAAATTGATCCTAAAAGCGGTAACGACATTCACTGACAGCTAATTCATCTAGAAAAATTGAGAATTCTGTAATAACACTGTATTGGAAAACTTTTATCATAATTACGATAAATATGGTAAATCCTTTTTTAGCAGTTTCACTGCAGTTTCATTGCAATATACAACCTACAATTATCTTACTTTAATATATATATACAGAAGAGTATAGGAGGATCTCTACTGACTTGAATAATTGTCGGTGCAACTGAAACGAAACACTACAAACATTGTCGTCAAGCTAATTTCTGTCAGTGCCGGGTGAATATTGTGTTTCAAACAGTCAAGGGAAAATCACCTGAACATCAGTAGGTGTTAATATTTCTAAGTCAATATCTGAAAGCTCTCAGAACTGAGTACTATTTGCCTTGAAGCTTCGTCATTTTCAGTGTTCAAAGATTTACTTTACATTATTATTGACAGAATTATTTCCGAGGTCCTGACGCTAAAGGGAGAAAAGGACTGGTACTAACTAAGCTAATCATGGATTACTTGGAAGTGTCCAATTATCACTAACCAAGAACTTACGAGGAGTAAATGATACATTTGATCCTTTGCTTTAATGTAAGATCTTCAATATAACAATTACAATTTACAATAGATTATTTGTTGGTTTTACTTAAGGAATGACCTGAACATTTTTTCAGTTTATCTTATAAGTGTACACAGGTTTTTTCTGTTAATACATTATATCTGGTTGTCTTTAGGTCCGTTTGGTAAATGTAGATCATAAAAAGTCTGTAAACAAGGCGTTCGCGACAGTTGTCTCTTGTACGATATACAATACCTTCAATAACATCAATTAAATAGTTTTTTTAATGCTCTCAATATAAAAACTGACTTGCAAGCATTTTAATAGCAGTGAGAACATTAGTCGGAAGCGTATAAACAATTCAATTACGACAGCCATTTTGTGTCGAAAAAAAAAAACCTCGAAGTGTAGTTGCCACTAGTAAATAGTAACAAATTTAATTGAAGGTTTAAAAGTTTCTGTGCATATTTTCTACGGAACTTGCTCGCCAAAGCACCCATGATCAAAAAGTGCTGTTTTGTGCTGCTATTGGACAATCGCTAGAAAAAAAAGCCGAACACAAAATGTACCAACCAAAAATTGGTATTTGCCGTGTGAACTGTCTACATTAAACACGGTACAAAAGGAGAACCATAAAAGTTCATCTGAAGTTTGATTGAAACATTTTATTCCCGAAAGACCTCTCGTAAAGATCTCTAGAGTAACGTTGTCTATGTCATTTAAGGAAAGGTCGGAGTTTTCAATTGAAATAGAACTATCCTTGAACATTAGTTAATTATTTTTCAAATGATAAATATTAGTATTACACTAGTTGAAAGAGTATTTACTTTCAAGTAATCATCCATGGTTAGAAGAGGCACATACAACTACAATCAACATCTCGTGCGAATGATGAGTAAATACTACTACTGTAGAAATCACCATAATCGTCATTACAATATTTTTAATAAAGACTTTGACACCTTGAAAGAATACTAAACCTCAATCGGATTTGTTTGGTATTATAATCCTTTAGATGTCCTTTGACTTATTATGATATGGTAGTACAAAAATAAAACCCTGGAGGCACATTTATTTTTATTAGTAGAAACTTTCATGCGTATCATTTTAAAACGTATTACCTATAATTTAGTATGTATAACTAATATTGCAAAAGGTTCTCTAGAACTATCATTTAACCTATGACATATGTTGAATGGAAAAAATGTGTTGACTGAATTAAAGAAAATGTAATCTAGGAGTGAGAAAGTTCAAAACTCCCTTGTATGTTCACTAACACTTGTCCATTTCACTGACCAATTATACCATTAACATAAGATATATCTGAAAACTGTGCAATTTGGATGCTATACCTATTCTTTGCTTTTTTCTTGATCTAACTATATTAAAAAATATTCATTTATTTTTAGTGGGCATATTTCTTAAAGGGATTGTAAAGACCTTTTTCTAAAAAGAAAATTATGTGTATAGGGGACACTGATAGCATCAATATGCCTCATTTCAATCTTCTATCACCATTTTGTGTTATCTTAGTTTTAGTGAAAGTGGTTGTAAAAGCAATATATAATTGATATTACGAAAGCACAGATCGGGGAGAAAATTCAGCAATTACTGTTATGTGCAGACAAAAGAGGCGAAAAAAAAAATTACATAATGTATATCAGGTTCTTAAAAAAAACAAACACAAAAAACGTTTTTTGAAACAAAAAGATACATTGAAATTAATGGGAAATATGTTTTGTTTATCTGTAACCAACATCTGAAAAGTGAAAAAATGATAATTATATTGTTATAGATTTAAGTCTGCCCTGGACTAATATGAAAACCTTACTTGTGACAGCAGCAATATCATCTACCTCATATGCTGTACATTTACCAAAAACAATATATTGGAGAAACAAAAAATAAATAATAAATTGAAAACTCGATTTAATGGCCACAGATTTGATATAAATCATAATCTGGATAAAACTGTAGCTAAATAAAGCAGTCGAAATGTTCTGGTAGGAATATCCATTCGTTCATAGATATGTGATAGCAAATAGGGGTGATTCGTATATTTACTACTGAATAAATAATTAAATACTATGTACCCCAATGGCCTAAATGTTCAAGTTGACTATCAAATAATTCCCTTTGTTATACTTTTCAGAAGTACATCCTGCCGAGCTATACCCATCATTAAAGATGGGTTTCCTTATTTCTTTTAAAGTCAAATTAAGCATACCATTTGAATAATTGTTGTTTCAAATGGATTATCATGTATTCTTAATCATAACATCATGTTCTTATTGCATATAATAATGTGAGACAAACTGGTATTTTTCCAAGACATTTACTTTCTATTCATATAAGTATTAGCATTTTCTTTTTCATAAATAAAAATAAGGAACCCATCTTTACAGAACTGTGTAAACGTCTCCAACGCAGTTTTCCTAACATTTTTCACAAAAAAAATAATTTTTTGCTTTAACGTAAGTAATAGTGTTTCTCAGTATTGATCTTTGATGAATATAAGAGAGGTGAAAATCTGACGTGTTGTTTGTATATATCCTACATAATTCTTGAAATCATCTAAATACGGTTTTTTAGTTTTCGAGGTAAAGTTATGCTTTCAACTCTTTACTTCATTTTTTAATCGTAGGGCCAAGAAACTCACACAGGACAGTTTTTCCCACTGCATTATTAAGCAGACCTTCATAAAATTCAGTAACAAGTTACAAAAGATAAGTATTATTTTAGACCTACTATTAAGTATTAACTAATAAGTATCATAAGATCCCCCAAGGGTTTCATTGGTTATAAAACTACATCAGAAAATAGAGTCAAATTTAATCTGAAAAATATCTTTCATTATGTAATTAACTCGATATCAGGAAGTAAGATCACTTTTAATACAGTTTGATTTATTGAGACATTCCTGTTATTAATACATATAATCAACTTGGTAACTCAGCGAGAGTCACAGGGCTATCATGTAACTTATGACGCATATATAAAAAGAAGGAAATAAAATCGTTGACTGAATTATAATTAAAATGTAGTTCAGGGACAAAAGTCTAGATCTCATTTGTATCTGATATCTGTTTCACAAATATCTAATTGAATCTCACTTCCGGTGTAATTGATATATATACCTCTACGAGTCTTATGCTGATTTGTAGCTATGAAATAAGAAAAATGTATTCCATCGCTATTTGACTTTTAATAGTTAGACAATTATAGTGTCTTTTAAAACTTAAAAAAAACTGTTACTTGTTTGCAAACAGCTTTTTGAATTTTCATATTGCGGTTGACATTTTTTTTATATTTTAAGTAATTCCACTAAGAAAAGGTATCAAATCAGGTCAAATTAAAGAAAGACAAGCCTGTTTCTAATATCATTTCAACTTGATCTTATCCTAATTAACGCCAGAAGACATGCATTTCATTGGCTAAACCAATGATGTCTTGGGCTCAACAAATTTTATAAAGATGGCGACGTTGTTTGAGTAAAAATACCCGCCTGATGGTTATTTACCTAATTTGTTCTCAAGTACAATTATTATAAAATTGACTGTTTTTAAAGGTCTAAATCAAGTAATACAAAATATTTATCTATTTGGTGGTCAGTCTCTAAAATATGAAGTATTATTTAGAGTCACCTTGTCGGTCTAACATTATGTCTTCAAAATTTGTTTTTACAGAGGCCCATTTTCAGCCAAAATTTGTAACTTTTTTGAGTTGAAATTTTTAGAAGGGAAGTGTGTGTCTTTTCATTGTAAACTGACAAAAAAAAGTACATTTTTATCAACGCAAAGATATTTGAAGACTAACAACACTATCTTGTGGCTATTATTCCAATTCTCATAAGACTAATGGATAAAATTCAAAACACTTTTTACTTTACAGCAAAACACAAGACAATATTATGGAATATAACACACTTCTTTAATTAGGGTGGGCACATAACGTTTCAACACGATATACTGGTGTCGTCATCAGATGTAATGGCAAGAGAACAAAACATAACAAAATATATACCAACAAGAAACAATATAGAGATTAATAGGGACAATAGATAAAAGGGGTAATAACAAGTGATTAAGAGAGACAATAGATAAAAGGGTATTAAACAAGTGATGTAACAATGTGAAGTCAATGAGCAGGTACTGAGCAAACATAAGCTAATGAGATATTACTTTGCTCAGACCATAGGCAGTAAAGTCTACACATATGAGTTGGATAACCAAAGCAGAAACTTAATAATAATCTGAGTTAACATAGGAATATTAAAAGACGTTACCAAATATTGGGTTAGGATTAAGATTAATAAAGATTTATTATCAATAGATACGATTAATGAAGCTAGAGACTAGAAATGATAACATGAGTACACATTAAGGTGTAATATACATTAAGGCGGGGGTGGGTGATAAGAGGTCAGATAAAATCCTACCTGGATAAGGTTTACCAGCAATTCTCTTTAAGCCAGTGTTGTTGAAGTTTTTAGTTGCTGGCCTTAAGAAAGGGAGACCACCTCCACCGCCTGCTACCATTAAAATAATTGGTAAATGGGTTACTTTATCAATCTGAAATGGAAATAAAAACGTCTGATAGGCTTATTCATTTAGTTACATTATATTGAAAATACGAACACAGACTGATTTTATTAACTTGGAAATACATTGCGCTTGAAAAAATTCCATTTAATGATATTTATGTCTGATTTTCATAGAGTTTATTGACCACAGAAGCTGTTTTTTTTAGTAACAAATGCATTATAATCTATCGTATCGATTATATAAGCGATAGACACAGTGTTTGTTCAATAACGACACCAGACTTTAAAATGGCCTTACACTACTGCATAGCAACAGGCCTTTCTGCGACCTGCTGTAATAATTCTCACAATTATTGTATATAATAATGCGAGGATATTTAGTCTGAATATGGTAACTAGTGTATGAGAATAGAAAATCTGAAATTACCACAAACCGTTAAATCTTCATTCTAATGCATTTATTTTTATATATTTTCCTAATATGTAAAGATTGTGAAAATTGTTGATCTTAACCCAGATTAAGTACCTTTTCGTTACTTTCTTTTGAAAAACACCATAACTCTGTCATAACTCTTGTCACATGTAAGCAAGATTCTCAGATATGTTGTGAAGATGTTCGATCGTGTTTTGCCGGTTTTTGATATTAGCTTTAGCCACAGATAGATAGTTGTTTGGCATCCACCAAGTAAACTTATTTCTCGATAATTGTCATATAAATGTTTTATATGGCAGACATTACAAGGCCATTAGAAAATAAGAGAAACACTACAAGACATTTTATAGTTCTTCAACTTGAAGTCAAAATTTCTATAACTCTAAACATTATCGGTTAATTGAGGATTTAATAACGTTTAAGTTAAAGTCTATACAAGAGCAAATATCAATGGCAACTCAATTTAAAGTAAAGGCACTCAAGAAAACATCATTGATAATGGTTGCTTCAAATAATGACCGAAGATAAAAGGTGAAGATCTACATAAAAATAAACCACAATCAGCACTTTGCTTTCGAAAAATATCGGTCCGTTACAATAATGTGAAGCCTAGTAAATGTAATTCAACTACTGTGAATCTTTTTATGAAGACGTAAAAGTTAAATATAATAACTTAAAATAAAAAAAATAATGATCTTTTTCCTTTCCTTCGTCCCAAAGAATACAAATAGCTGTTTTCTATTGCTTCAATGACGTATTAATAAATTGAAAGTGTACAAAAAATAGTATAAACCATAAAATAGAATATGATAGAAAAAAATAAACAAATACATATTACTTGGTTGAAAAATTAATCCCAAGCAATAATACCAAATAAAGAATTTTCTTAATTCTTATGGCAAAATTTAAGCGAAATTTACTCCTTTCATCACAAGGGATTACTTTTACTTTTTCTGGTTAAGGATTATAGTATAACCAATATGTTCAGAAGACCTTCTGTTCCACTAACCAAATTATACTAGGAGATGATTTTTGTTCTATTTTTCTGGTGCCTTAAACCAACAGGAACAATTTTGATCAATCAACGAAAAACACGGTGGACAATATGATTGCAGACATACTGATCATAATGATTAGTGTTTCCTTAAAGAGTGAATAAATTATATTAACAATGTTATCTTTTTAATCATTTAAATTAACGGTAATGGTGATGGATGATTTTCCGTCAGATTTAATCTAAGCTGCCAGTGGGTGTTAGAAAGCAAACTTTTTTTTTACTGTGTCTGGATATTTTTTTAACGGGAATACGCTGAATATTCACGTTCTAAGAAATTCAACAGGATGTTGCTCAATTAAATCTAAATCGAACCTACGGCAAGGTGAATAATTATAATATCATTAACCCAATATTTCGCGGAAATATAAAGAGGAAATCATTATACTGACCTTAAAAACAACTGTAGCACCACCTCCTCCTCCACCACCACCAGTTACAGATATGTTGGTTATTGGAATAGAGGAATTAGATGGTTTTCTTAGACATATTTCTTGAAGCAAAATATCATCCTGAAGTATAATTGAATTGGATTGAGACATTGAATACAGCAAGACCTATAGGACTAAATATTCACCATAATGTAGGCATAGCACCCTTTGTTGTCCCGTTCAATACAACCAGCAATCGAGCAAGCAAGATAGTTCATGCCCACCATAAGAGCCTTCAAGAGAAATTCCCCCATGTCTATAAGCAGAAAATGATAGTTGCATATTCAAAAAATAAACACTTTAATGATAAAATTGTACATAGTAAACTATATAGTGAAAAGCCTATTTATATCAAAACCACACGTATATGTATTAAAACCAGAATTTATAACAGAATGAAGAAAAAACTACTTCGTTACCGATATGAGATCAAATGTACCTCGTGGTTAAAATTCGCGATAGAATAAAACGATTTTCAATCTGATCGGATAATTATTTTACGTGATATCGTTTTAACTATTTATTGCTTTCGGTACTATATTGTCAGTTGAACTTCTATCATAATTTATTGCAAGCTAACAAAAATAAAGAAAGATACACCTTCTTAACGATTAACTAATTGTTTTGCACCCAGTACACCACTGAAAGTTTCCAATCAACAAATTTAAGGAGGGGTCACTTTTAACGTTAATTATTAGATATGAGAGGTATGGCTGGAATACAAACATAGTGATTCAAGAAACAAGTGATTACAGAATATATTAAGGGTTAGGATAAGAAGAGGGGGGGGATTAAGTCATCCCAAATATATGGCAGTATCCCTGTTCAATTTTGGTTTATATTTCCTTATTTCGATAGCTACCCGTATAACTCTGTCCTTTCAGTTTGGAAGGTTAGAGGCTAAAGTATCAGATTCCCATTTCATATTGTTGTTAGGGAGGGTGACTGTGGATATGTTCGACTATGGCTGCTTTTTCAATTTCTAATTTATTGCATGCTGATTTATGTTCTTTAAGTCCAACAGATATAGGTCGGGATGTTTCACCAATGTAGGTTTGTATGCAACTACAATCCAGTTTATATATAACTCCTTTGGGATCTTCAGTTGGTTTAATAATTCAGCTTGCAGGTGATTCTCTAGTGTTGATTGGTTTCTAAAGGCTACGTCGATGATAAGACTTTTTGAAACAATCCTTTTAATCTGGTGGCTAACAGTTCCAACAGAAGGGATGATCATTCTGGTAGGTGCGTTGGTGGATAGTTCTGTTTATGTGTCATTAACTAATTTTGGTGGATAATTATTATTGATTATAAAGGCATTACGTAGGTGGTCTATTTCTATATCGGGTGGTAGCAATGTGCTTTCCACCAAGTCCTCCTATACGGCAAGGATAATTCCATTTCTGACGAAAGTCTTTGGAAATCCGTTCCCGTTATTCTGATCAATTTGGGACCTTAAAAGGACAAAAAAGTTGAACGCATCCTGCTTCCTTATGCCGATCATTGATGTGTTCCAAAGAATAGCGATCCAAAAGATGATATATTCTGAACATTTCTTCGTCCTCATTTTATTCATGGATAGGGTTTGAATATGCTCATTGTAAACAACGCCTTTGAATCTATTTTGTTGCCCAGCTTGTTCAAACGGTGACGTTGCTTCAATAACAGGAGAAGTAAGAGATTATCTTCATCTTCCGCCACTTTGATGCAGTCCGATCGTCCTTCGGTTTTTGGTTGACTTGGCCGAAAGCTCGTCTGCTGTTGAAGGAGTGAGAATATCTCGAGGAAGACATCCCAGCTAGTTCCTCTGTCTGTGTCTAGATTAAGCGGGGTTATCTAGTAAAGTACCTAGCTACTAAATTGCGAATTAGAAACTCCATGCCCGGAGCGTCTGTCTTACTTAAAAGATTCTGCAAGGATAACAACATAGGTTAATGAGGATCATTTCCTTTCGGCATTCGACTTTCCCTGATTATCTGTACACATTTGGGTCGACTTATGACTTTCGACTTATTCAAAGTCACCACTTTCACACACCGACAAATACCCACGACCACCCTAGTAAATGTAAAGATTCCAGTTATCGTCCTGAAATCATTGAAAACCTAGATACTCTTAAACGAATAAGCTTGGCTATAACCGGGAATAGAATTAATCGTTGGTAGTTTGTGCGATTATTGGAAAGTAGCACAGCAGTTCAAAGAATAAGATTAGTTGTAATTGTTTCATAGTAATTAACCTAACTGCACTGCCAGCGTGTCTAATAATATTTGACATGACAGACAGTGGGAGATCTGATTATAAATTCATCTTTAGGATTTTCTCAGAAATAGGTTAATGTTACTTAACAAAATACAATCATGCTATCTACATCTCTTTATATAATAAAAATAGTAAGTCATTTACAAATGATCAAATCCCAACCAACAAAAGTTACGTTTTCAATCTATGGTTACATCATTAATTATATTTGCTTAAAAGTGTTCAATAACTTCATAACTGTTTCCCTTCCCTCAGCCTCAGAGTCATTTGAATGAAGTATTTCAATTTCCTCTCTTAAAAATTCCCCAGAGAACTCAAACTGTGTTATTTAAGTTAGGAAACCATATAATATAGGAAGACGACTTTTTAAACTTTCAGATCTCCCGGACTTAAAAGGAAGTTTAATACAGAAAACACCCTTACCCTCTCAGAAATCCTATCGCATGCACTTCCACCTTGTTGTCCAACCAAAACATGTAACAAATCACCTTTCATTAATTTAATCTTAGCGTGGACATAATCTCCTCTTTGGGGCTCGTCCATATTTCTAGCACCTTTTCCACCTTGTGCTCCAAGGGCGAGAATACTGAAATTAAAAGTTTTGATTGATAGATTAACTTGCCGGGTGATATACATAAGATACATTGAAGGGATAAGGTATGTGTTACCGGCTAAAGTAACACTTTTCAAAACTAAGACTCATCACTCAGATCTTTAATTATTCAACAAGTACGTACGAGGGAGCTATTGTTAATCCTTAACATTATTAACATATATATCACTGGCCATTCTGAACCATGATCTTATAATGTTGGTGATATTGGCATGCTAAATTTTATAACAGCACGGAAATTACGAAAGTATAAATTTGGTCAATTTCCGATTACTGGGGAGTTTTCTGATGAACATTCAATTGTTTATTTCTACCGTGTTGTGAACTGTGAAAATGTTCGGTAAAGTTGTACCAATAGTCGTTTTCGATAATCCTGTCGTGGAAGCACGGGCACACGCGAGACTGTTATCGGCGACAAAAATCTCCGCCCAACGCCGCTCGTGTGAACGCACCTAAAGTTTATCCGATAGTAGAGAGAAATCTAAAATATTTTAACATCAGACAATAATCTCTTCCGCTTTTTCCCAAAGCAATCGCCTTGGATTTTAATATTAATATTATTGAACTTAATATAGCTCTCGTGACTGCTCTTAATGTAAACATTTAATGGCGCTTTTATTCAAAGCAAATCAAAGAGTTGTAAATTTCAATTATTGTATTTTGTTATTGTCTCCAATAACTAAATCTGGCTATAATTGATTTCCTTTCCTTTCTCTAGTAACACAAGTCTCGAGATAAACTTTGGAAAACTATACTTTCACCACATCAAAAATTCATGATATTACACATATTCAAGACATTATGCAATAGCGCATCTAAATTTAAAGGAGCAGAATGCAAAATTTTTAGGATTAAAAATACATGAAAATATTCCTGAAATATGCTTTTTACATCTATGTATGTATTAAATCAAACTGAATTTGTTACAAGTGGTTGCCTAGCAAGATACACCCACTTTCTTGATACATTTTTAGTAGATCAATGGCAGTCACCAATTTGTGTCAAATCATACCAAAAAGTCTAATTTTTGCCAGATATCGTTGATTTAATCAAACACACAAAATTTAATCAAATTTTAACATAAACTGTCATCACTATCGCGTCAACAAGCCTATTCATTGATATGAATGATCACACCAAATTTCATTAAAATCAGATAAAAACTGTTGTCTCTATTGCGTTCACAAGCCAATTGTGGACGGACGGACCCATTAGGTTTTAGTTGAAACTTTCAGAATAAGTGGAAGACATGTTAACTTTGCTTAAATTCGTGAATTACTACTTTAACCAAAAAGTAACTTAACAACTTGAAAAGGTTTACGTAAATGTTTTAAATAATGTTAGCGATTTAGAAGTAAACAGCAACATACTTTATAATGTTAGCGATTTATAAGTAAACAGCAACATACTTTATAATGTTAGCGATAAGAAGTAAACAGCAACATACTTTAAAATGTTAGCGATTTAGAAATTAACAGCAACATACTTTATAATGTTAGCGATTTAGAAGTAAACAGCAACATACTTTATAATGTTAGCGATTAGAAGTAAACAGCAACATACTTTAAAATGTTAGCGATTTAGAAGTAAACAGCAACATACTTTATAATGTTAGCGATTTAGAAGTAAACAGCAACATACTTTATAATGTTAGCGATTAGAAGTAAACAGCAACATACTTTAAAATGTTAGCGATTTAGAAATTAACAGCAACATACTTTATAATGTTAGCGATTTAGAAGTAAACAGCAACATACTTTATAATGTTAGCGATTAGAAGTAAACAGCAACATACTTTATAATGTTAGCGATTTAGAAATTAACAGCAACATACTTTATAATGTTAGCGATTTAGAAGTAAACAGCAACATACTTTATAATGTTAGCGATTTAGAAGTAAACAGCAACATACTTTATAATGTTAGCGATTTAGAAATTAACAGCAACATACTTTATAATGTTAGCGATTAGAAGTAAACAGCAACATTCTTTATAATGTTAGCGATTTAGAAATTAACAGCAACATACTTTATAATGTTAGCGATTTAGAAGTAAACAGCAACATACTTTATAATGTTTGCGATTTAGAAATAAACAGCAACATACTTTATAATGTTAGCGATTAGAAGTAAACAGCAACATACTTTATAATGTTAGCGATTTAGAAGTAAACAGCAACATACTTTAAGTTAAGGCAGGGACACATTTGTCTAGATTTTACTTTTCGTTAATTTAAGTACCTTACTTTCAAAACCTATTGTATTTACTAATTTCTAAGCCGTTAGTTCAAGAGTCTAGTGTTTTTGTAAGTTTGATAGATAATTTGATTTGGTATAAAACGTTTGTATTTCTAATGTCGCCATCACAGCAAAAACCTAAAGATTGTAATCAAACAAGTTGATTTACGTCGTACACATGGGGCTCTCGAACAGATAAAACATAATATAATATTGAATTTTCCTTTATGACGTATCTGGCATCTCCATTCTTTCTTTTTTCCAAATAATATAGCGATTGTAATGGCAGCCAATACGTCCGGGATGTTGACAAGAGCTATCAGTAAACGAAACATTCCGAGAGTAACAATTTCATACTATAAGAGCTTTATTCCTTTTTTTGATTTTCGATAGGGTTCATCCTTAGGTGATAATCAATTTCACCAAGTTTCGACTACATCGGTCAAGAATCCTGCCCTCTGACGTGTTTACAATCCGCATAAATATTTTTCGATTTTTCAGCTTTTAAATAGGGTTTAACCTATACATTATTTTAGATTTTCTTTATTTTTGATAGGGTTCATCAATGGTTCACAAAGTTTCGTCAAAATCAATCAAGAATTATGCTTTCTTGAAAGTTTCAAGTACAAGGCCAATAACTCATATCAAATACTTGTTCTGATTTTCAATAGGGTTTAGTTTACAAACATCTCGCACCAGGTTTTGTCCAAATCTATCAAGAAATCAGCTCTATCTTGGCCACGACGCATTTTCAAGAACAAGGGTTTTAACTCATTAATTATATTTCGATTTGTTTGATTTTCAATAAAACAAACAATCGGGTTTAGTCAAAATCTGTCACAAACAAACTCTCTATCGTGTCGGACTGATGCGATAAGGGGCCACAACTAAATACGCCCACATTAATGTGTGGGCGTATAAAAACGGCTTCAAATAAAAACACAAAGTGAAACACATTTGATCGAGTCGAGTCTTGACTTTGAAATTGCTAAAGCAGGGTTACTTGACACATAGACTTCAGACTTCATTTAGGAAATTTTATCTCGTTATAGCGAACTTCTTGAAAAATATTACAAATTTTGTTTCTTGCATCTTGGCTGATTTGTATGTTCAAGCATATCGATCTGATTGTATCTCATGAAGTTAACCTAGATAGTAGTGTCGCTCGCGAAGCAGAACAATATGCTTACTCTTTTCGAAACACCTGATGGTACTTCTCTTCGGAGGAGTCCACCACTATAAAAATTTGACTCTTGGTTTTGCCGTGTTTTGGACAAGATTTTGATGAACGGAATTACTATGCTTGTGCGGATTTTATTGATAAAAGCCAATTTCAAAATAAGGTCTTTCATTTTTTTGTTTTAACGATTTATATGAGAACTTTTTAAAAAAAATTTAATGTCAATCGGGGAAATAGCCCAGTCATTCGGAAAAGTCAAATTACAAACACGTTCTCACGATTTGGCTCAAGGGAAGACTATATCAATAAAAGTTGAAAGAGCGGAGTATTCGTGTAGACTATTTTAGTTTCCTATGTGCTTTAATATTGTACTATAATGATTAACCTAGTTAGATTTCCGATTACGAGTTTGGTAACCTTAATCTTGTTATTACGATTTTAATTTTATATATACCAAAGTCAACTTTCACAACATCAGTTAACAATTCCAGACATCTTATAAATTTGTCACTAGATTAACACATCTTGAATATCAGATAACAAATGTCATATGTCTGCAGATGATTGAATTAGGCCTACTACCGTTCAGTACTATGACACCGCATGAACTATTCTTAAGTTTGAACTTGGCAAAATAAATCAGTTTATTACCTTGTAGTTCACTTTTAAAATTTCCAATGTTATACATGTATTTTATTGAGGGATTAGACAAACCTTCTGGAAGCTTTACCTTCCTTGCCCGTATGGTTGTGATGATTTGTGGACGCTACATGGATTTACATTAATATCTATGCTAGACTATATCACGACTGTCTGTTTACGATATGTATGTGCGATAAACACGAAAATGGAATAAGTGAACACACGAGGTAGGGTTCGGACACGATTCGTTTCCCCATTTTCTACTGTATCGACAACCCCACACCGCACAGGACACTCAACCTCGTGTATTCGCACGATAAGTCATTGATTGGTAGGGAATAGTCAAAACATTTCAAAGCTTTACCTTCCATACCCTTGCAATGAAGTGGACTGGTTATGTTTATTCGTGGAAAGTACCTAGTTGCGCATGAATATTTGTACTCGACTATACCAAGATTGACTGTTTACGGCATGTATGACAGAGAATAGTTTTTGTCATTGGTAAGTTACCGAGGCTGTTAAAAAATGTGCAATGCTGAATGGTCCAATACTTCAAAATTGTATTTATCCACAACTCAGCAGATTTCTTTTCTTTTAGCAATGAGCAATTGTTCTTCGGGAAATGAAGTGCATGACTTTACATAATGGTATTTCCATTAATTGGCTTTATTATATAAAAGCATGTTCACTTCCAAATTTTAAGCCACTCCAGTAATAAATCGATATTTGTATGGTTTTGATTAGGGCACAAGTTAATGTTTCTTCAGGAACGGAAGAAAAGGTTTCGTACTTTCGACACTTTGTCTCTTCAATTTATGGATGCAACAATATAATATGTGTTATCTTACTGCAGAGATGGTACCACTCACTAGCTCAAGTCTCTTCCGAACAGTGGGAAAATCTTGGCTGTTTCA